GATGACATCTTGGTGACCATCCCAAAACAATAACTTTTCCCCTATTTAACCATGTTCGTATCTATTACGGTTAACGAGATACCAATTACCAATGCTCGTACCTCGAATTTGTAGCACCCTGTATATATAACACTAAGAATCGGTGCTTTCTTTTGTATTTATTATTTTATTTTTAATAATTATTAACTATCGTTACATCATATCAATGCTCCTAAAATACCTATATAATATTACTTACAAATTAATCTATTAGAATATTACGTACGTATCAAAGTTGGAACAATAGAAATAGAAAACTGCGTAGGTTAGATAGAAATCGTTTTACATATATGTAAAGAGAATTTAATTATTTCAGAGAATCTAATCTTTCAGAGCCATCTTAATGTTATGAATACTATATATAAGATCATGATACTTATATTAATAATATTTATATTTTTGGAAATCATACAATATGGTTAAAATAAAATGAAAGGGAATTAACACAACAAATTATTAAATAAATATAATTTATTTTTTACGTACATTAACATATAAAACAAGGTCAGTAATAAATAAAAAAATTCAAAAGTCTATCTACAAAATTATAACAGCTAGAGGTATATAAATTTTTTACAAAATTCATTTTTATATTTGTTTAAGCGTCAATTAATGTTGTTAACAAGCATAGTGAAAATAAATCATTCGACTAATAAAAAATATATGTAGTTTCATTCATTTCTAATAAAAGTCTGCAAAATCTCAGGTCTGGTTGTGAGGTAACAGAGTTCTTTAGAAATGTGGAATAACTCCACGAAGAATTACAATAATTAGTTTCCTGCATAGCAGGAAGTATTTAATATATCGGATTACTAGTTAGTTTCGCTATAAATTAATAATAGTTATGTTTTTGTTTGGCGATCATAATGTTAAAATTACGGAATCTTTTTCTTAACTACTGTTTAATAAATGGTCCTGTCCACAATTTAAGTTTGTGTCTTTTCTAAAAATCTTTCTGCATAAGACAAACTGTATAATTTATACTATTTCTTATATTAATTTTAAAACTTTGCAGTATCAGAGTTCAAATGACTATGTAAGGACGTATCTTATGTTTAAGTAATTCGTAAATGAACATCTCTCTGTTCTCTTTATTGCAAACAATAACATCACAAATATTATATTTTGAGCTTTACTACGTCAGTGTTTTTAACAGTGAAGATCTGATCTAGAGTTATTACGTGTCCATCAAATGGCAAAACTCCTGTATAAGATATACAGTCTCAATTCAAAATATAAGTACATATGTATTTAAGAAACTATTTATAAATCAAAGGCCTTCATAGACGCTCAGTTTTTTCGCGCAGGCCGCCTGGTCAAGCCTGATCTGTACAGGCATATCGACACGTGTGTGGCAATTTCTGACCGACTAGTCACTTGTGCAGGGTGCAGGCTGTGAGGCTGATAACCTGACATGAGCGAAATCATACCAATTACACCATCAATTTATCGAATTCTATAAAAGTGCGTCATCTTTATGAAAAATAAAACGTAGGGAGTATGACAGCCATAAAAAAAATATTGCACAAGCGAGCAGAATACAAAATGGAACTGTATCTTGAGAATCCATTTTCACTGTAGAAAAATGTTCTGCAACTCTTTTTCCAAAAGTTTACTGTAGAAAAAACTATGCTATAAAACTGATTTGTGCGACAAGCAGAAGTACACTAAACTGCGAAAACTAGCCTGCACATTCTGCGTGTGTTAAAGAACTGGGCCTCTGTGGGGGCTATTATATTTAACCAATAAAATTAGTGTAGTTTCAGTGTTATACCACAGATTATAATCTTTGTTTTTTCTTTATTGTTTTTCGTGGTTCCAATTTTCGGAATCGGGCACTAGTTAGGTGACTAGTTTGCGCACATAGCACGCCCACTTATGGCCTCTAAAATTGTGCACAGCGCCTGACCGGCACAGTTATTAGAGAGATATCGGAAAACCGAATAGCGTCATCTAGTATTTACGCGTACCTTATCATGGTTACGATATGCGCGAGTCAATTTTTAACGCAACACCCGCTAATAACGTTACCGCCTGACGTAATTTGTGGATCAATTACACCAAGCGTTCTTTCTAAATAACCTCTGATAACGTTTAAAAATTGCTTAAATGGGCATGTGCGGGTATTTGACAACCGGAGCCGGCCGGCGAGATCTTTTATTTTAGGTTATGTTTGAATTGTTTTGAATTATTGCTTTAGTATTATTAGGTAATTTGATATTTAAGTAGCTGGGATTAGTTTTAATTAAATAAATATGGCCAAAAATATAGATTCCACCTCTTCCAATACTAAAGAACCTATAAAGAGTCTTAGGTTTACAGCAGATGACGACTTAGCCCTTCTAAGAGAATTTGTTGCTTGTTGCCCTAAACCCACTGGCAGACGTTGAACAATAAAGCACTGGAAATAAGCACTTTAGCCCTTTAGTTTTAAAATACCTAGTAAACAAAACAATTTCAAAGTTTTAAATTCAAAGTTAGGTTAAGTTTAAATAGCGGACGCAACGCGATCAGAATTCTTTCCGATCCGATAACTATAAATATGCTATAAATGAAGAGAGTTAATACCACCTCACGTAAAGGAAATAACACCTGGCCTTATTAACGTCCATGCACGCTATTCGGTTTAGCGATATCTCTCTATTACGCTGTTTATTGTTATTTTACGCGAATTTATTTTTGCGCACAGGAAATTTGACTCGTTTGCACATCGTCATAAAAAACAATTTTCGTACCACGAATTAGGGACAAGATTTTTATCTGTATACTTATAGGATACCTAATCTGTGGTTATTTACCATATGAAAGAAATAACTCACTGTCAAGAAGTTCTGAGATTTACCTAGTAATTCTCAAAGTAAAATTTTAATTCTACACCTACCGTCCACACCTTTTTAAAACACACTTTTTCCTATATGAATCAAGATATATTGGTTACTAAATCATAACAATTACTATATGGCAAAACTTTTGAATCTGGGTATCTATATCACTTTATCCTTTTCAGTTTTTTAATTTTTTGAAAAAAATGGCATCGCGACTGTCGATCGTCATATACAGGGTGTCCCACTAAGAATAGCTCTAGGCTGTATCTGGGAAAGTATTACCCGTAGGGTCTGCGGAAAAAATATTTATAACTAAAGAGCCCATGAGAATTTGCTGGAAATTACTTTCAAGTTTCTAGAACGGTCGCTAGAGGGCGCAACTACTATAAAAATAAGAGAAAGGAGTTTTTACACAATTTTGTCTAGATAACGGGTACTATAAGTAATAGCTTCATATTCTCCAGTTAATTTTGAATATTTTAAAACCACATTTTCCCCTATCTGCCACAATAAAGTGGTGGGTGAAGGTTAGATCTATTTTTATTTAAAGATTAATAACTCCGGACTGGGTGAACGGAATCCAACAAACGGGAGCTCGTTTAAAAGAGAGTTTCTTACTCTATATTATACCGTATGAACAATAATAATAAGCTTTTGGATGAAGTCGATAGGGGGCGCTGTCTTACAATTTAACAAACATTGCGCGTTTTTTCAATAAAATTAAATGCGATAGTATATGTGATTTTAGCTGATAGTAAAGAGTAATAAAGGCTTAGAAAACCGCATCTTGATATCTTTTTTCAAACCAAAGTTATTAGTAAATTTATAATAAATACGAAAATATAAGCCCTTAATTACTTAATTTTTCTAACACGGTATTACTGGCCCTCTTGATTATTAAAATTCTGACAAAAAATAAGATAGAAATGATTAGATTATTCTAAAATCGACAATATACCAGAATACCATAATACCAGATCTACTTATTTTGACATATCTAATAATTAAGATATCAATGACAGTTAATAAGAAACGCCCCCTCAGTGAAGTCACGGTAGACTTTGGAAAAAAGTCGCTTTTGACGTAATAGTATAAACGTCAAAGTGTTATTAGATCAACATTTTGATAGTTTTAGCAGCGTTTTTTCTCTATTGAAGCATATTGAAGAAAGGCATTTTTAGAAAAGCAATCAAAAGATAAAAAAAAACGCTGCTGAGACTATCAAAATATTGATATATTAATATTTTGACATTTAAACTATTCCTCCAAAAGCCACTTTTTTTCAAAGCCTACCATGAATTCACTGAGGTGTCGTTTCTTGTCCGTCGTCATTGATATCTTCATTATTAGATATTAATACACCTAGTATTATGGTATTCTTGTTCATTGTCGATTTTTTGAATAAAATAATCTTTTTTATCTTATTTTGTATTAGAATGGCCATAATCAAGAGGGCTAGTGATACCATGTTAGAAAAATAAGGTAATTAAGGGCTTATATTTTCGTATTTATTATAATTTTGCTAAATTAAAAAAAAATTAACTTTGATTTGAAAAAAAGATATAAAGATGCGGTTTTCGCTGACTTGTTAAGTTTTTATTACTCTTTAGTAACAGCTAAAATTACACATACGCATTTATTTTTTTTGAAAAAACGCGTAATGGTTCTTAAATTGTAAGGCAGCGCCCCCTAGCGTCTACGTTCAAAAGGTTATTTTTATTGTTTATGTAGTATAATATAGAGTAAGAAACGCTCCTTTAAACGAGCTCTCATTTGTTGGATTCCGATCATCCAGTCCGTTAGTTATTAACATTTAAAGAAAAACAGATCTAACCTTCCCCCACCACTTTATTTTAGCAGATAGGAGAAAATGGTTCTAACAAAAAAGATCCAAAATTTTCAGAAGATTATGAAGCTATTATTTATCTAGGCAAAATTTCTTAAAAATTCCATTTCGCTATTATATATATTTTCCATAGGAGTTACGCCCTCTAGCGGTCCTCCTACAAACTTGAAAATGATTTCCAGCAATTTCTTATGGTCTCTTTAGTAATAAATATGTTTTTCCGCAAGCTCTCGACTAATACTTTCCGAAATACAGCCGAGAGCTATTCTTAGTGGTACCTGTACAGATCTATTGTAGATTTGTAAATATATTGTAATAATAAATGGTCGTTAACACAATGTAGTTATAATAATTATTATAATCAATGTAAAAAACTCTGCCTGGGCTTTAAAATATTAACGGTCAAAATATTACCGTATTCTATTAGAAGCACTAAACAATAATGTTGCAAGTGCTTCATATTACTTATTGGATGAAATCTTGGATTTTTGACGCCTGAAATGAAATGTAACAAAATATATTTATATAAAAATAAATTAATAAGAAAATAGGTTTAAAATTCTCGTTGTGTACAGGATCATTTTTGTGTTAATTTAGCCTTACGCTGTTTAATGGTTGAAACCGCTTTAGCGAAACCGCAAGTAATCTGATATTTACTGCACTTATTTATTATATTGCCGTTTGAGATCACAGTCCTGTTCTACACCTAACCCGGAATCGGAATGTTCGTGTTGAACCCTACTAAAATTTGTAAAACTATCCGGAATTGAACTCGCAAAGTTACTGGAATATGCTGAATGAGCTCCATTATAAAAATGTTGCCTGGACTTTTCCGGTAAGCCATAAGTATCGTTCCCATCCGGAAACGAGAAATTCGTTAAAGCTTCGTTCATCAAAGCGTTCGTATTATATAACGGACCTTTCCCTAAATAATGGCGGGAATAGGACGAGGTGGTACTACCCCCGATACTTCTGTTGTCGTCGTTTTTACTTAGACCTCCTGTAGGTTTTAATTTCACGTGTTTGGAGTAGTTCGTTTTTACTACAGTATAAGGAATTTCCTTCAATTGCAAGTCGCTCATTCCGGAGGTATCTATCAAATCAAATTCCAAGTGTTTCTTCAACTCATCTGAAAGCCAAGTCTTTGAATCACCAGGGGACCGAGATCGTGATCTGTGTTTTCGGTGTTTGTGGTGTCTTCCAGTCGTGCCATAATCTGAACCGTGCCTTGAAGACTTCTCGTGACTTCTACTTCTGTTACTCACTACTGTAGCTTGCTGGATGCCATTTGCGTTACCGGCGCTATTATTTTTTAACTGTGCTTCTTGCCACTGCAACCCCGAATCGACTAATTCATAATAATTATCGGATTTAGACCTATTACTTCGCTTTTCTGATTTCGTCTCATTTTCCGAACCAGAATCTTTCCTAGATTTTCTCCTTCTATGTTTTCGTCTCGATCTACTCGAACCTTTAGACAACTCACTTTCATTATCAGACGTTCTGCTGCGATGTCTTCTTTTCTTACCCGATCTAGAATCATTCGAACTTTGACTATCTACCGAAGACGATCTATATCGACTGCCTGATCTGACAGATCGAGGACTAGGCGGTACCGAACTGTTATATAAACCTTTAGAGTGAGGTTGCGACCACGGAGCACTATGCGTACTCCTAGGAGAGTCGAACTTCTTTTTACTAACGTTGCTTTTGAGGGTGTTTGAATTATATGAGCTGGGGTATGTTTCAGCGGGAAGGGGTAGAGATATGTGTTTAATTTCTTGCGTTTGGTACTGAGGAGGTGCTTGGATCGGTTCCGAAGGTTGGTGGCAGTCGTTGGTGCCGCCGGTGACTGTGAGTCTTCTTTGGTATCGCTTTGAGGGGTTCCTGGAGAAGGTGGGGGTTGGCGAAGTTTCATTTGGGCGTCTCGTACTGCTTGTTTTTCGGTTCTTCCACTGTACCTGAAAACAGAGAATTTATTTAAAATAAATGCCGAACTATAATATAATTGTTTTCTTTTCAATTCCCAAAAAATAAAAAAATATATGTATTATTTAAAACACCATGCATTATGCTATACCTACACGAAGTATAGTTAATAAATCAGTTTTAAAGAAAAAAAAATAACCTTCAAGTTAATAATTTTTATAAACTGACCATGAATACTTTATATAAGGAAAAATATAAAGAACCATTTGTAGACAGTTTGAAAAAATTAAGTAGTTTTATTATAAATACTGTTACAATCAAAACTAAATTAATATATACAGGGTGGCCCACTCTATCTAAACAGTTCCATACGTAGGGTTTCCATACAACTTTTTGGAAATTCAGGACTAGAGAGCACTGAAATCTGGGACTCTACAAGAAGGGAAAATTAAAGGCTGTTAAAAAAGTGTAAATTATACTCTTTTGCATTGGTGAGCAATACTAAGAGGTTAGAAATAACATCAGAATTGTAAAGGATAAAACATTGAGTACTTCATTAGTTACTACATACCTACTTTCGTTTTGACATTATTAATTTTAGTGGTAAAATTTAATATTGCAAGTTATACAGGGTCCGGCAATAGTGCGCGGGCATCTGTAGCTCCTAGAATAAACAGTTAGGAATTTTGTTTAAGTACAAACGTAAAGTATGTATTAGGATGTATTTCAGGAAAATATTTTAACCTCTTGGCTCAAAAAAGTGTGAGTGGATAAGGATGATTTTTCTTAATTGGAACACCCTTTATATTATTGCATTTTTGGCTTCCTTTTCGATCACTTTACATAATCCTAAGATATGAGTAAATATATTTACTCGTAAGATATTATTAAATATGTTTTGATAGTTTCAAAGAAATTGATAAATAAGTAAAAAAAAAAAATTGTTTCGGCCTTTTTCCAAAAAAATTATTAAAACTACAAGAAATGTCCTGAAATCAAAACTATATTAGGTATTTACTGTAGTGGGTCTGTACTTACTTTTTTACAAGTATTGTAATCTTTAACCATACAGGGTGTTCAAAATTGTATGCTAAACCTTTTAAATATAAAATAGTTTTTCTTCGTTTTTTTTTAAACGAAACACCCTGTATATAATTTTTTTATTAGATGGAGAATTAAAAAATGAACACTTTCTATTTAAAGTATTTCTGATTTTTAACGGTTTTTCGAATATTCGTGGTATTATATTACATTGGGGGTTTCAAGATTAATTTTTTATCAAAGCCACCCAAGATTTTTGTTTGATATTTTACCGTTGAAAGTTTTATATGTAATAAAACCGCAAATATTTGCTAAACCGCCGAAAATTTTAAAACACTTTAAATATAAAAAAGTTCTCCATCCAATAAAGAAATAATATACAGGGTGTTCCTGACAAGAAACAAGAAAAACTATTTTATACTTTAAAAAGTTTGGCATATCATCTTGAACAACCTGTATGGTTAAAGATTACGATATTTGTAGCAAAGTAAGTACAGACCCACTACAGTAAATACTTAATATAGTTTTGATTTCAGGACATTTCTTGTATTTTAAATAATTTTTTGAAAAAAAAGGCTGAAAAAATATATTTTTTACTAATTTATTAATATCTTTGAAACTATCAAAATATATTTAATAATACCTTAGGATTATGTAAAGTGATCAAAAAGAAAGCAAAAAATGCAATAATATACAGGGTGTTCCATTAAAAAAAATAATCCCTATCCACTTACATTTTGCAACTCTAACATCTGAGCCAGCCTGTAGAGGTTAAAGTATTTTCCTGAAATACATCCATTATGTAGTAACATATTTTAGGTCTGAACTTAAACAACTTAACAATTCCTAACTTTTTTTATGTTGACATACTATCAAGAAATTATGTTTTTTAACTAGAAACTAAAAAAATTTCCAAAATATTTTTGAAAACATTCGAATTTTCAAATTTTTTTTTTCACGAAAAAAACCTAATAGGCGTGTTTCTGGGGTTAAACTTTAAACTATACTACCAGTTAAAATACTTGCACTTATTTCTGGGACACCCTGTATAACATCGTAACTATTAAAATATTAAACAAAGTTGTTTTTACGGTTAGATTTCCTGGATATATTTTCAGATTCCGACCGCAACACACCAGTCCTGTTTAATATTATTTTTTTATTATTATATACAGGGTGTCAAAACTGTCAAAAATAGTGTATCTAACTTCGGTGGGTGATTCTACAGATAAAAATAAAACAAAAAATTCCTGTAAACATCAAAACAAATCGTAGAAATTTTACGATTTGTCAACGTTCAGATATCAAATAGGATTCTGTACTAAGTGAACGTTGGAAATTATAAAGGGATTTTAATAAAGAAATTTTAAGTTTAAAATAAATGATAAAATTTTATGTATGCTTAATGTATACTAAACACATCGTTAATTGAACTCATCAAAATAGTAATTGTTAAATGCCTGGTTATTCCGGTAGTAAGATAGAACAGCAAAGAGAAGCCTGTAACGAAGAAATTCTGATGCACCTGTTGCGCTATTATAATATAATACAACGTGCAACCTGTTATAACAAAGAACAACTGTCCTAGAAGGAAAAAAATATACCTGCATTAAATAACCTAAAATATGTAATATTAGTAATATCATACCATTTCTTTCTTAGAAAATTGCATTTAGTAAAATTTTATAAATTAAAAACTTAATTTAAAATCTTTTTTAATTATTTTTTTTTTAAATATTTTTTAATTTCTTTTGTTTACAGTACCATGTCAAAGACTACACACCATGTCTTATACAGTATGTTCCCGGATTGTCTTTACAAGAGGAAAAAAACTTTTTTATTATTGAGATTTTGTCAAAAATACATTCTTCTCTACACTCTAAAAATGTTTACTTGTCCTAAAATGGTTAATCCCGTTTATACTTTTTAAAATTTCCATACCGTTATAGAGAAAATTAACAAAAACATGAGAATATATAGTCTGTCCAACGAGTGACAAGATCCTTGACAGTGATAGATGTGTCTGTCATTTTAATTTCAAAGTAGTTTATTTTATTTTACAAAGAAATAAGTTGGTACAACTGGAACGCATAGCAGGATATATTTAAAATTTGATTGACAAGATGACAAGTGATTACTTCAAAATATTGTGAAAAAAACTGTATAAAACTGAAAAAATGTAATTGAGTTATTTTATTTAATAAAAACGGTATGTGTTAATACAAAACAAACAAGAACAAGACACTACATACCAAAAATATAAAAAAAACTATTATTTACTTTCCAAGCTTTATGAAACTACCCGCATTTATGATTATATTTATCAATATAACTTATGTACAAATACAAATTTGTAATATTCCACAGGAATAAATAAAACAACATAGGTAAATAAAAACAAACTATTTTATTAATAATAACACCTACCAAATTTTATACCTTAAAGGTTAATTAATTAACTTTAATCTTAATTTTTTACCTTTTTGACATTATTTTTCTGCAGTACTAAAATCCATTATTTACCTATCGTGTGATGTCGATATTTTACAGCTACTCCAGCTTTTTTTAGTATGTGTTTAGTTTGATCCTTCTACCATATACGAGATGCACTTATCTACGACGAAATGGTATACAAACTTTATCGATGGCAACTTCATTGGTGTATAAGACTTTCTGCCTGGGCAGCGAGTATTAACCGTAAACTGTGCTCTGGGTCTACAGTTAATTTTCACTCGATTTTTCCTCCACTTGACTTCAAAAGACACAAAACACACGTAACAATACGAATCAAAATGCATCGTCTTCCAAAACGCAGGGTATTTAACAAAAGATGACACAAAATTATAACCTATAATTTGGCAAGACTTTGACAAGCGTCAAAAATGACAAAAATCTAAAGGCGAGTTCATACGCATCGGCGTTCGTTTGTCGTTCATCGTTCCGTGAAACCAATAAAATTGAAATACGATCTGTCATTTTTTAAATAAACCAATAAAACTGGTTAAAAACTACAAGACACGACGCATGACGGATTTATATTTAAACCCATCCATAGATAACTTAAAAATTATTAGAAACTTTTTTTAATAAAATAAATAGATTGGTATGGGACGTCATCTGCTTTTCTTCTGTCATCGTCTGTCGAAATCTTACCTGAGAAAAAAAACAGAGTATAGTTGAATTTTTTCCAAGTCCTAAAAATCAAAACGCGTTTCTATGGTAATATAACTTCGTTTTCATTTTTTGATAGATTTTTATTCATAGAATTTTCATTAATGTAATATTTTTTGTTGTTTTAGAATATTAAGTAAACACAAAATTAATTTAATTAAATGCTACAAAAAGGGTGATGACAGTTATCGGAAGAAAAAATATTTAAAATTTTTGAAGGGGAAAAAAAACAAACCTGAAGTGCCTGTCAAAAAAATTTGTATAGCCTAAACGTCAAATTTAATGGTTACCACAGCGACTGTGACATATATATGTTAGAGAAGACATGTGGCTATCTATTTCAAAAATTAAATTGTTTGAATGTCATATAATATTGGACGTAGCTGTCATGGAATTGAGAGATTAAAAAATGATCATAAATCATTTTTTTCAAATGGAAACACACTTTTATTTCATTAATGAAGGTTTTTCAATTTATTATTTTTCGATTATACGTGTTCCTATACCTAAAATAAATCGTTTTTAAGTTATTTAAGATTTAGTTTTAAAACATACATTTTTCTTCCATTGACATTAAGTGTCAAACCATCAGACACTTTATTTCCTTCTGTCAAAAACAAAAAAAAATTTCGTTTATTAAAAATACTGCTGCTAAAACTTTATAAAGTGTAAGGTGTAGATATTTATAAACACATATCTCGTATTTTAGTGATAGCTAATGGCAATATGACATGGCCAGATATAGTTCGCTTGACGTTTAACGTCATAGGCTACTGGTTAAAAACCAAAAAATATACGCTTTCAAACTAAATCTTAATTC